ATGACTGGTTGGCCTGTGGTGAGCAGCGTGTCGGGGTGCAAAGGCGGGCAGAACACTCACCTACGGCCAGGAGCTGAGGAGGAGGCCGAGGTCACCCAGGCCCCTCCAAGGGCACCGTCCCCAGTGTGCACTGACCTCCCTCTGGCTCCAGTTTTAAAGGGCCTGGCTCTCCTAGTCACACTGCTCCGGACAAAGCCTTGGGAGACGTTTTAGACCCCAAGTACCGCACCCTTCCTTTCTGACGGTTTCCTTAGCTGGCACTATTGTCAAACAGGAGTTAAATTTTATGAGTGGGCATCTCAGTGTCATATTTCTTAAATGAAAGTATTTTGGTTTTAGAGCACAAAATATATTAATCTTCCAAAACATGTTCTTCCTCACTCTGTAATCTTTAAGAGTACAGATTTGATAGATTTGATAAGATTTGATAGGACCTTTTCTCTCTTGTAAAACTTAACTGGCGAGATCAAAGGCAAAAGAATTTAATAGTCACCTTTACATCTACCAGATGCCTCATTAGCAATTCAATATCATGCCAGCCCAGCCCAACACAGAGCCAAATGTTTTAAACAGCTTTACCCTCTGATTTTTTTAACCAACACAAAGGTTTGATGCTTCCTTGAATGCTGTCCTGGAGCACTATTTCAAAATAAGCTCTTTAGCAGATTAAGTGGAAGACAGGCAGGAGCCTGAGGAAACGCCTGCTCTGGGGAGCAAGATGCCAGCAGTTCTCATGTAGGAAATTTAGCTTTTGTTGATTCATGCAGTGAGATTTGGTGTGAGATGAAGGAAAGCAATTGGCATCATTCATTAAATTTTGTACAGAGAAATCTCTGCATCATGTGCTGACATTCTAATATGGAATTCTTTTTTCTCTTTCTTTCTTTCTTCCTTTTCTTTCTTTCTTTCTTTCTTTTTTTAACCGGGGATCGAACTCAGGACTTTGTACTTGCATGGCAGGTGGCGGCACCACTGAGCTAAATCCCCAGCCCTCTAATCTGGAATTCTTGTGGAAGTGTTTTCGTTTCGTTGTCCTGTTCTTAGCAGTAAGGACTCCCCAGTGTGGGACTGAGCTTCTTCGCTTCACGGTATACGTGATGTCTCCAACGTGCTGTCAGCATTATCGCGCACAAACTTTGTGTTGCCCACTTCAGCTACAACTTTTGATAGCACAATTCAGTGTTATTTGGCCCCTTGCATTTCTACAGCAGTGAGTTGTGTGGAGGTTACGTCCTTATTTGGTTGAAATTCTGTAGTAAAACAGAAAAATCATTTGTGTTCTCCGTTTGAAGGCCCTGCTGTAATGATGAGGAATGGAGAGATGACTTGTATGCAGGGCACTTTTTCCAAAGCCCCGTGTGCCCTCCCCCACGTACACGTTCAGTTTTACAGATAGTAAGTACCACTTGATTCCTTGCATTATCTTAAAACAGGGCAGCCGGTTCTAGATAATCTCCTCCAAAAAATGAATTGATTGAAATGAAGCAAGTCTAGCATCATCTTGAAAATCCAGATTATTTTTAAGTTGCATATGTGAATTTTTGCAGAAAGTAGTAGAAATAGGTAGCCATTACATTACCAGGTACATTACATAAAACATGGGGTATTGGGGTGTGTTGCCATTTTAAGAAATACCATTTTATAGCGCATACCATCACATAGAAAATTTAAAGAAAATAAAAACAATATATAAATGAATAAAACATAATTAAGCTTATTTGTGTTTCTAGACCAAGGTTATTTCTTTAGCAATTTTAAAACATTTTGTTTGGCTATTCTCAGAAAGACTTAAATTTATCTTATTCTAACAATTCAGAAGATCCCAAAGCATTCTGTTTATGAGAGTGAGTAGTATTTGGACAGGTGTAGATTTCCTTACATACTAGAAAGACAGGGTCACAACTTCCAAATTTCTTCTCAGATGTCCGGTCTGTTTGAAATATTTTACAAAGACAATGAAAATAGGGAATTTGCATACTGATTTTAATTATGCTTTTCTGAAATTTTTTTAAAAATAAAAAACATGTTACATTTTGTATGCAGGTGGAAAAAGGCTAAAGCTTTGGGCTTTGAAATTAGAACAGTTGTCCTTTGTAACTATGTAAAGAAAATGAAGCTAATGTTTGGAAGCATTATAATACTGAATTTTATTCATTCAAGAAATAACCATGTGCTCTGCGAGAGGGCTCCACCTAGGTACGTGGGGACAGAGGGTTAGCCACTCAGTGCTTTCTGACAGTCCAGGACTACCACTTCCCATCACTGTGAAGGAAGACCATTTGGGGAACATGCTGAGAGAAAGGAAAACCAGGAGCAAACAAAGTGGAAACTGCATGCCAATCAGTTACAATAATCACCATTTAAGTGGGCCATGACCAAAGGTGGCCGGTTAGTGGTGTCGGCCACGGTTCTGCAGAGAACCCACAGTGTCCGGCTGACCTCTCAGTAGTGGCAGGGTAAACAACAAGATCCAGCGGGTTGATCTTGATGGCCATCCAGACATTCGGACATCTGCCCAGCAGCTGCTAGTGCCGTGGGGAAGCGTGTGAAGGTGCAGTGCCATTGAACATCTGCGTCTGTTTCTGTCACACTGGACCGGTGAGGAGTCGATACCTTGCTTGAAACCCCTCAGGTTCACATGGGGTGAGGGCAGGGCAGGTGCACTCGGTATCTAGGAGTCATTGTTGATGGTGAGAATTCCGTATTATGAAATTGGAACCAGAGGAAAGATGGAGAACAGATAAGATCCTTATGGGCCACGATGCCCTCTGTGAAAGAAATGGGTGATTGGTGATATCCTGGCTGGAGCGGGGGAGGGAAAGAGGTCAAGGAGGACCTCTCTGGGGAGGTCACTCACACGGGCCGCCTGAAGGACGAGCTCCTGGAAGGAATCAGGGAAGAGAGCTCTGGGTAAAGAGCTGAGAGGACGGAAATAGGTGGTGAAATGCGCTCACTGATCAGGAGAAAGGCGCTTCTACAGGGAGGCTGCTCTGGCTGGGAAGACCGCTTGTCCACGGCTGGGTGTCTCTCGTGCTGTGGCACTTGCCGCCCCCAACAGCGGGGCCTCTTTCTCACCCTCCATGATAACTGAGGGCTGGCTGGGGCACGCTCTGTCCTCCTCACCCCAGGACCCACAGTTCAGGTGGCAGCAGAAGGAGATGGCGTGGCATGTGGTGTCCAGGCTCCCGAGGCTTGCATACTTGTCACCTCCGCTCGTGCCTCATGGGGCCAGAGCAGTCACTCCACTCACATTGCCAAGGAAGAGTGACCCTCCCTCCGGTGTGCCTGGAAGGGGCAGAGCTGGAAATCCTGGCCACACGGCAGGTCTCCTGCAGAGGTCAGTGAGCAGTGTGGACGGGGATGCGCACACCCGAGTCGTGAGTGTGACTGACTGGTTGTGTGCGCGTCTCCAGGGAGAAAGTCCGTTGTTCTAATCAGACTCTCAAAGGATCAGGGTCACAGCAGCGATTAGAAACTGCTGGACCGGCTGGAGATTGTCCTGTAAACATAATTACTACACAAGGCAGTCTGCGGCCTAAGAGGCTGGAGGATTAAAGAGTTGTGCACTTGTGCGTGCGCGTGGGGATGAGATACAACAGAGCAAGCGCGTAAAAGGTGGAAGCCGGGGATCAGCATGCTGGGTGAGAAGTGCCCGAGTGTGAGGTCCCAGGATGCTGCAGGAGGCGGCGTCTTGTATCCTGCGTGCCCGTCACCTTAACGTGGGGATCAGAAGCCATCGCGTCTTCCTGACTTGGTGGGGAGGGGTCAGTCCCTCAGGGCTCAGCCGGATGGGAGAGAAGGACAGGGCTCTCCTGGGTGATGTCTGACCAGGGGTCCCTCCTGAGAACAAGGCCTGATGGGGCCTGGAGAGTGTGCTTTCCTTAGGAAGAGCTGCATGTGGGGACAGGTGACCAGGGACAAGTCGACAACCAGCAGCTAGGAGGACACTGCCAGTGCCAGCGACCATGGGTTTGTCAGGGTGGCAGTGACTACGAGGCTGCGATTCTCAATTCTGTGTCCTCAGCTGCCTGAGCAGGAGCTGAGGAAGGCATAGGTGGATGGGATGGGGCAGCTGCAGGTTTTACTGATGACCTGAAATTCAAGAGCCCCCGAAGTTTTGCCCATGGGCAAAAATAACCAATTTCACTTTTAATTTTAAAGAATAAATTGGAGGCTGGGATGTAGCTTCTTGCCTAGCACTTTGAGTTCCACCCCCACCACACACCTCAAAGGATAAAAAACAGACCCAGAAGGTTGGTCAAAGCTGGGCATGTTGGTGTACATCTGAAATCCCAGTGCTAGGGAGGCTGAGGCAGGAGGATCAATGGAAGTACAGAGCCAGCCAGCCCGGACTACATAGTGAGTTCAAGGCCAGCCTGAACTACATCGTGAGGCCCTGTCTCAAAACACCAAAACCAAAGCAAACCCAACAAAAGAAGTTGGTAATGTGAGCAGGAGGGATGTGTGGATATAACCAGTTACCCTTTGTGACTTGTGGTAGGAGCACCCTGTACACCTGCCCTGTGTTTTGAGCTCATAGCTGATACAGGCCCCAGAACTGTGGTGAGGAAAGAGATGCGCAACCCACTTCTTACTGCTTAAGTAAAACGCATCATGCTCCAGACGTGTGAGGTTTATTTGCTCCTAATCCTCCTCTACTCCACTGGTAAAATCTGGCAGAAGAAAGGTAAAAGCAAAAAATGAAAACTCTAAGAATATAATTACATGCTCAGAGAGAGAATTGCTTGGCTCAGCACCTTGCTATTAATTAGAATGCTATAAATTTTGCTGCCTTGCTGATCTTAAGACTTGGTATTTAGAGGAACCAGAAAGACAAAAAGGAGATCTTCTGCGGGAGCTCAGGTCTAACGCAGATCTAAGGCGGACATAGTACCCTGTTGCATTGTTCCTTCCCGAATCGCTGCTCATATGCCCGAATGGTGCCATTTCTGTGAGATTGCATCAGGAGCATTTGATAAAAATGGTTCTGCTCTTCACAGAGGCAGAGTATGCACACTGAAGGCGGACACAGTCCAGGGAGCCCTCCTGGCTTCCCCAGCAGTGAGCTTTGGAATCTGCCGTTGATTTCCTGTCTTCAAGAGGAAGTTCCGTCTCTTCTGTACCTGCTGACGGCTAACGGGCCCGGCGGCGAGCCCCGCCTGAGCACCCAGAATTACACGTGAAGTCGGAGTGCAATGCGACTCACGTCCTCCCTCCACAGAAAGAAGTTAGGGAGGCCAGCAGGTTCGAATTCTCAAAGGAGACGGCTGCTCTGCATGGCTCTTCCCCAGAAGCTCCTCTCTCTGAATCTCAGTTGTTGGTAACTAGCAGGTTTTCTCTCCAGGAACCAAGATAATTTTTTCCTCGCTTCTGGCCCACCAACTCGTCAGCTGTCTCAGCTGAGGCGGCGCTGCCAGACTGAGTAACTGGAGAATCTACTCGACTATTTATTTTAGAGTATGATAATTTGAGGGAAAATGAAAATTGTCAGTTTTCCATTACACCCTAAAGCTCTCAGACCCGGTTATCTTATCAGACCTAAAAAAGCACGCTACTACAGAAAGCGGTGTAAACAGGTGGGGATACCAGGGAGGAGGGGAGATGTCCGCTGCGGGCAAGCGCTGTGCTCAGGGCAGGGCGACCCCAGGCCTCCTTGTGCGGCCCTAGGATGTGGTGACCTGTGGATGTGGCCAGTCCCACGTGAACCCCGGGCAGAGGTCTGTGCTCCAGGGGCCAGAACTGCGAGTTTTAAAAGTCCTGTACTGGCCTGCTGCGAGATGTGCCTCGGGGTGGAGATCCTGGGGCTGGAGACCCCGGGCAAGCACATGCTCAGTTCATCTCTGCACACTCAGCCCCAAGCCGGTGCCTGGCGATCACTAAGATCCAGCCCATGCTTATTTTAACACATTCTCAGAAAAGTCACACCCTTTAGAAATCCTGCTAGGTAATCTCTTTTCTCTGCTTGCAGTGTTCCAGGGTTTCTCGTTTCTTCCTGAACAGGTCAGGCAGATGGGGCTTACTGTCTCCATGGACAAGTGTCCCGCTCTCCCCGCTGTCCTCACACCCGGCCCTGCCAGCTCTGCCCTTCCCACGGGAGATGGGCCACCGCTTGTTCCTCATGCCTGGCTCCACACTTTCCAAAGTGATCCTCCTGCCTCAGCCCCCTGAGTGCTGGGATTACAGGTGTGCAGCACCACGTCCGGCTGATGTCCCTTTTCATTAAGTCACATTTCCACCCCTTTATAGCCCTGTTCCATCCTTGGCCCTCACATTACTCTTCTTATCTTTTATCCTGGACTTTCCCAACACTTGTTGCCTTCTAATGTCTTACTCTGTGATTTAACTGTTTCGTACTTGTTTGTTGTCTGTGTCCCCCTGGCTGGCACACAAACCTGCGAGGGTGAGGATTTTTATTGCTTTTGCTCATTGATATTCCTAGTTTCAGCCAGTGTCTGACACATAGAGGGTGCTCTGTGAATAACTGTTGAATGAACAAATGAATAGAGCCGGATCTGTGAAGCAAGTGAGCAGATAAATCTGAGAGTAAAAGAGTAAAGCGAGGTGCAGAGGCGAATGGAACATCGGTTGTGATAAGCTCGTGGAGGTGAACCTTGCTTTTCATTCGCGGAAGCCCTTGCAGTTCGCGATGAGCTCGGTCCACTTCCAGAGTCAAAGCTGCAGACTTCCAGCTTCTTTGGTGTCAAGCTTCCTCGAGTTAACAGTGTGTCGCTCGCTCCCTGAGGGATTCAGGTGAAGGACGCATGTGCGGAGTCTTTCATCTGGGCCGGAGGCCCCTGCATTAGGAGCGCTCCTGCGGAGCCCACCCGGGTTATGGAGTGAGCGATCGCTGAGGACTTGATCCTCAGGTGATTTGAATGCATGCTGAAGTTCGAGAATTTCTAATTTCTCATTGCTGGGACACAATACCCAACACCCACAACTTAAGGAGGAGGGGTTTATTTTGGCTCACAGTTTGCAGAGGTTTCAGTCCATGGTCTGCCAGCTCCACAGCCGAACAGCATGGGAGCGGGGCCTGGTGGAAGAGGGCTGCTCACGGCATGGGGGACAGGAAGCGGAGAGAGGAGGGAGGTCTTCTGTGCGTGTGTGTGTGTGTGTGTGTGTGTGTGTGTGTGTGTTAGACGGGGAGGGAGGGAAGGAAGGAGGAAGAGAAGGAGAGAGAACGGCACACGTGTCAGTCAGCTAAAGGCACACGTGGCTGGTCGTGTGAGGCCTCACATGTTAGTGGCTGTACACGTGTAACCACCTCACGGGGCCTGAGTGCGCACAGCAACCACTCACCTGCTCGTTCCGTCACTTTGTGTTCCTCTGGCGTGACCCCGGGGCGCGAGCGAGGTGTTTGCCCAGGACCAGCAGCCTCCTTTCTCTGGCTCTGAGGCCATGCCGGTTCATGCGCCTGGCATCCTGCTGTGGGCTGGAAATGTCCACACCTAATGACCAGGTGGGAGGTAATGAGAAGTGACTGTCGCACAATTACACGGTGAGCGCAGAGAGAGCCAGAGGCCGATGTCTTTCTCCCCTTCTCCAGTGCTCTTGCTGCCAGCCCTGCCTGTGAGGCGAGCGTGCTCCCTTTAGGGCCTGAACAAACGCACGGCTGTGACAGGGGAGGCCTCTCTCTGCTCTTTCCCAGTGCCCACTTGGCCTCTCACCAGTGACTGCAGTGGCCCTTTCCTGCTCTCCCTGGGTGAGGACTGTGATTTCTTTCATGAGAGGAGAGGCCGGGAGAGGCGGTGCACAGAGCCATGTTTCTGTCAGAGGAATGCGCGGTGCAGCTTTAGAAGAGAGAAGCCGTGTTTAGAGTAATGACGGCAACTGCTGCGGGATGCTGTGTGACCCTGTCCCACTGGTGACAGAGGCTGTTTGCAGGATGGGATGGACTTGCACTTGTGAGAGGGGATGGCGGGGTGGAGGAGAAGTTAAAGGGATTGCTGTTTCCTGAGGGGGGGGAGGGAGAGAGAGAGAGAGAGAGAGAGAGAGAGGGAGGGAGAGGGAGGTGCAGAGGTTAGGGCCCTCCCATCATCCCCTATGGCTTCTACGGCCTGGGCTGCTGTACTGGGGAAGTTCTCCCTGGGAAGGGAGAAGCTGGGTGCTGTGTCACTTGGCAAAGGGCACAGCAGCAGGCTGGCTGCTGGCTGGGTGATGCCCCTCCCCTCTCTCTGCACCCTGCCCGCGGGAAGCCCCAGTGGCATTGGGGGAATGAGTATCAAATGGGCCACTTCGTTCCTGAGCCACAGCCTGAGAGGCGCCTGCCATTCACCTCAGGGTTCAGTCGTGTTGTATCGGCTGACACACGTGCGACTGGCCATGTCGCTGCTGCGTTCCAGTTCGTGCCCGGACCTTGTCACTAGCGTCTCCTTCTGTGCACGCCTTCAGTGTCTGCCTCAACTCCCTTGCTCAGACTTGGCTTCCAGAATCGGTCCAGAGACCTGATATTTATGTGGAGTCTCTCGCACCGCATTCTTTCCCGCTTCTATTTTTTGAGTGCTTGCTGTACGCCAGGCAGTGTCGTAAGCAGTCCACGCAGCACTGGTTCCTGTTATTTCTGTGTTGTGTTGGAGAAGTGGAGGCACAGAGAGGGTAAGTTTATTGTCTACAGCACATGAAACTCGGGAAAGTGGATCCTGAATCCAGCCTCTAAGGACGAGCACAATCTGCCTCTATGAGTCGATGACTTAGTTAATTCTTGAGTGAATTCAGTAAGCACTGTGGAACAGCAGTGTATTCAGTGCACCAGAGTTCTGTCCCCTCTCAAGCCTTTCTCAGCCCTCCTTCCAGGGGTTTGTGGAGCACCTCTGTCTTTTCAGGTCACTGAAGGGGATATCAAGGTGGAGCCTGGCCAAGAGATCAGGAGCTGACAGATTCTCTCTCCAGGGCCAGGGAGTAAATGTGTTTGGCTGTGGAGGTCCTGCCGTCCCTGTCCCCACAGTGCAGAAGTAACCGTGGACAGCATGTAAACCAACCACAGCGTCTGCATTCTCTAGAATCTGCACCCAACAGGCAGGGATTGTCCTTGGCCTGAGGGCAGCTGGCCACAGGGTACAGAAGATGCCCCAGGAAATGCGCAGGGCAGCCAAGGCGGCAGCCCCTGAGCGAGCACTGTGGTCTGTGCCAGGAGGAGCTCATGGGTGAGCCTGTCCTAGGAGGTATGTGGCAGGTCCTTGATGGCACTGGGATGCTGTCAGGGGACTCGGACTGACCTGTGCTCCAGAGCTGCCATGGATGGCAGGCAAGCTGGTTACCAGAACCCCTTCCCCGCCCTTCCCAGTTGGCAGCGCCCTGCTCTCTTGGTACCATACAGTCCTTTCCGAGCAGAGCTCACTGTGGAGCAGGCATCATAGCTGTGCTCTTCACTTCCGGCCACTTTTGCAGTCAGAGCTTGTTAAGTGGCCCCACATCGAGCCACGGGGGGCAGGGCTGCCCCTTGTGTGACTGGGGAAGTGGCTCCGGGGAGCCCTTTCACCTCTCTGGTCAAAGGGAGGCTGGTGCTGCATGTGCCCCTGCACTCTGCAAAATGAAGACACGAAGATGAATGGGCCAGCCTGGAAGGAGCAGTCCAGCCCAGCACAGACAAAGCGTGAGGGCAGAGGGCAGGAAGCTGAGCTCGCCTGCCGCCGGTGAGAAGACTTAGCTGGACATTTCCACTGTCTCAGGTCACTGTCGCTGAGTAGCAAGTGTGTTTCAAGCCCCCCCCCCCAGTTAGGAATCAGG